CGGCATTGTAGGGAAAGTTGCCACCCCCAAAACATAAACCAGAAGACTCTTGACCCTTGTAGGGTCAACAGGCTCCCAGGGGTACCAACAGGTAAAATGAAAATAGTTTCGGAAAGCAAAAAAATGTGTGTTTGCGTCCAGCTTTGAAACTGGACTTAGCAACGTGGCACAAAACACAGCAAACCCTGTGGCTTTCTCTGTTGGTTTTCACCTGGATAGAGGTTTGGTGCACCCGGAGCTGCAGCTTTGGCTAGCTGTGCGGCCTGGTCCGTGGTAAACGCTGCCCGATTATTATTTTGCCATAGGATCCTGCTCTGAAACCAGTTTATTGTGCACAATACCTAATATGGTACAGAGAGTGTTATGAAGGGATTCTCAGATGGCATTTGTGAAATAACCTTCAGATAGTTCACCTGAAAGCATTACAGAAATGCAAATGTGGTTCTGGCAGATTTGCACAAGACTTCTCGAGTCTCAGGAGCCGTCGGTGGGATGGGTCAAAGATCCGGCAATATTGGTGCAAACCTCACGCACGCTCCCAGTGTGCACTCATAATTCTGCTTCGTATTTCTCCGCAGGGAAGTACTTGACCGTGCTGCTGGTTGTGTTTTCTTCCCTGCTCACCCATGTCAGGCACTTCAGTGGAAGCCGTTGTGATGGAGGATCGGGCATTTTCCCTCCTCCTGGGGCTGAAATTGTTATTGTTGGGGGGTGAAAGTGTCCGGTTCCTGTCCTGAGAAACAGCAATATCTTGTGGCAGTGAATGACGCAGAGGGCTTACGTGCTGGGTTTACAAAAAGCAAACTACTTTTTCCACCGGGACGGGGTGTCTAATGCTTTATTTTAACTGGGTGTGTTAGGCTTTAACTCAACTGGGTGCCCCTTCTTTTGGCGTTAGGAGAAACACCCTGCGTGACTCGGTGGGAAAAGCTGGAGGGAAGCAAGCGAGGGGCTGCGCCGGGGGAGGAGGAGGAAGGCTGGGAGAGGAGAGGTTGGAGGGGGCTGGGGGAGATGCTGTTTTGGGCAGGGGGTGCCTGGGCGGCTGGCTGGGTGTGCAACGCCGGCAGCGGGGCAAGGCTCCTGCAAACTCCGTGTCGCCGTCTCTGCGCTCCTCGGTGGACGGAACGGAGAGGTTCTGGCACGGGAACGTCGGGGAAGAGCCCGTGCAAGGGCTGCGGAGGCAGGCGGGGCGATCCCGGAGCCTGGGCAGTGCTGAGGGGGACGGGTGGGAGCTGGGGCGAGCCGTTCCCTCCCGTGTCCTGGAGGAAGCAGGGCAGAGTCTGCGCGGAGAGAGGGGGCCACCCTAGCTCACCGGGTCCTACGTGTCCTCTTACTTCCCTTGGGCTGGTCCTGCCGTGGCTGTCTGTGGAGGTTTCTGCGTGCAGACCAGAGGAGGAGAGTCTGGTGGCCTCCTCTGCCCCAGCCCGGCGACCGGGATTGCCACGGCCAGTGAAAAGCTTGGTTGGAAAACACGTGCGAGGGGCTGCAGGTCTTTGCTTTCTCCCCACCAGACCTTCCGGGAGTGGTTGAAGGACTACGGGTGCGAGGGATGCTCAGTCAGGGATTTGGCAGGCTTACGGGTCCGTCGTCCCCCTGCTCCTCCTGGTACACACGCCCAGACACCCTGCGCGCCGCTCAGACCTTGCTTTTATTTAGTCTGCTAACTCCGACTAAGAAATAGTAATAACAATACTAAAAAAGGGGGATGATTTCAGCGGCAAGCATGGTCTGTTTTCCGTGCTGCTGTTTCGTGGGGTTTTGTTGTTCACCACGGGCAGCCTCGCTGGAGCGTGCGTGTGCGTGTGTGTGTGCACGGGTGTGATTTACTGGCCTGTGCAATGCCACATGTCTTTAAAATTACAGTGCCCATTTCCTGCTGAAATAATTTCTACAAAGAGAGTCTCCTATTACAGCAAGAGGAGCGTGGACGTCATGATTTATTATTATTTATGGTCCCAGGGCCTTGTTTATGCACGATGGGTTAGGTGCTCAGGATAGAAATGCCATTATGCAAATGACATTGAATGTCCTTACTGAGCCTAAATAATTTTTGTGTTGGACGATTAAACCTCATCTGTTATTGATATGGGCTGCAGTCGGGCTATTAAAGAGTCCCAACAGTACTTACTCCCAGTAATGGGAAAATTGAGAGGAAGAGGCTAAACAATTGCCTCAAGTGTGCCGTGATTGTCTGGTAGGAGTGGAACATAACGAACCCCCTGAATGGAAATCGTGTTTACTACTTAGGGATAAATAAAAAGGGAGAACATGCAATAAATTACGCTTTCTGATGTGAATCGGTGCAGCAGAGAATTTGCGTACTCTCAATTTGTTTATTTGAATAATTTTTATTTTTTTGAGGGGGGGTGGGGTGGCGGGGGTGGGATGTAGATGGCAGGAGCATCCAGGAAGGATTCCCGCAGCCCGTGCCCCTGGCCGGGTGGCTGGGGAGAGCCGTCCTCCTCGGGAGCCACGCTGCTGCCGCGCCGTCCGCTTTGACACAGCTGTGCGGTCACATTTTGATCAGTGTTGATAGCTTATGAATTCCAAAATTGACAAAATTTACAGAAAAATGAGGATAATCCATCTTCCTTAGCAGCCTGTCAGGAGCTGGCTATACTTCATAATCTTCAATTACAGATGCTATTTTCAGACATTTACATGCAGATATTAGAAGAAAATGAAAATGAGAAACAAAGAGCGAATGGAAATGCAGCTATTTATATGTATAAAAGAAAAACAACAGGTAAATTCTAGGCATTTAGATTGGATTTGGGTGTCCCTTTGGAAAATTGGAGAATGGCTGCGCCTGCTTATGGATTGCACCATGGAAATGTAAAACGTAGCATGTCATTTCCCACATGCAGATAATCTGAAGGCTGGGTCAAAAACAGGTCAGTTATTCTGAAGTATGAGGGTAAATGTGTTCATGGCAGGGTGCACCAGCTAATTCCCACTATCTTCAGAGGAATCTCTGGGGATGTGCACAATCCTAATTGGATTTGGGCTAAAACTAAGCACAGCTGTTAATTTTTTAAAAACATACATGTTTTGTGAAAGGAAGATTCAGAAATAATTCCATTTAAACCGAGGGAAAAAGGTTGTGCCTCTGAAATCAAACTTCCATGTCCTGTAAGGCAGCAAAATGCCCAACATCAACGAAAACAAAGGGAAACTGGGATTCGGCCCCAGTTAGCTGTGGCAATAGCTTTTCCTCCCAAGCAGAATTGCTTTTTCGGTGGCCGCGGTGGGTAGCGCAGGGAACGTGATGTAAATTATGACATGGAGGACTAGCTGGCGGGCGGCCGCGGTGAGGCTTTGATATATAGGTTTTCGGATGCCTTTCCCATCCGGATCCGAGGCGGCTGAGGAGGAAGGCGTTAGGATGGATTTTCCATTCCCATAAAATTTCAGGCAGAGCAGCACCGGTGCCCATGCAGCTGCGAGTGGTGCTGGGTTTCTGAAAGCCTGGGGAGATTAATTAGAGCTGCTTTGGATTAAGCTCTCCGAACCATATCTAATGTTACAAATTTCTCCCCTTTGTCAGGCTGAGGCGGGGGTTTCCGTGGACAGCCTGCCTGGCGCGCGCCTCTTCTGCCTTTATTTATTAATTTTAAAGTATTACGACGCGATGACCTGGAGATGCTAGGTATGAGGTCTGGCTCGCTGCTGCCCTGAGGGGCAAGCAGGCGGTTTGGCAGTTGTGACCTGGCGGTGTGTGTGTGTGTGTGTGGTGGTGGGGGGACAGCACTGCGCCTTTTGGAGATTTGGGATTGATGCCTGGCTGAAAGGAGGAGCTGCCTTGTGGGGTTTTTTTGGGTTTGGTTTTTTTTTTTTTTTTTTTTTTGGCAGTGAGGGCGCTCGGTGCTCTGTGTTGGGAGGGAGGGAGGGAAGGCAGCGCGCGCATCGAGCCCCTAAACCCCCAACCCAGTGCGTTGCCCTGACGGTCCAAGCCCCGGTCGTGATGCTGCTGCTGCTGCTATCCCGAGCAGCGCCGCGGGTCTGGGGGCTGGGGGGGGGGCCGTGCCAGCAGCAGGAGGGCACACGAGGCATCGCTTCGTGCCTGCCCGGCGTTTTGCAGGTGCGGTTGGGAAAAACGAGCAGCTGCGATAAGCAACACGTGCAAGTCCCGGCGGGTGCCAGCTGGTTCCTTTCGGCGGCTGGTTTTCAGTCTTGGCTCGGACTCTCGAGGGGGGCGCGGGGTCTGTGCCCCGCAAAAGGGACGGGGCAGGCGGGGGATGGCTGTGTCTCAGCCCACCCGGTTCCCAGCGCTGCCGCAGGGCTCATCCCACCCCGCGGGACCTCCCCGAGTTTCCCACGCCGGCACCCCAAAACCAGGCTGTTTCAGGGAGCGGTCTTGTTTCCCACTGCGCGTCCGCCTTTGCCTGCCACTTTGGGATAAAAGGCCAGGTAAATCGCGAAGAGAAAACCGCTGTACGTGTAAGGTGGGTTGGCCTGTGGGTGGGTCACGCTCAGGCCCGGAAAAGTGCAGGGTGAAGCGGTGATGGGATTACCGCCCGCCTCGCTACCTAAATTGTAGTGAAAACGCTACCGAAACACTCCTTCACCCTCTGCCTGCCCGTCACCTCCCCTGCCCAGTGCAGGTAATATTTAGAAATAAAGCTTTTGCAGTGGAGGTGGAGGTGAAGCTTCTCCCAGCGCAGCTGCCTTCCCCTGTGCGCTGTGCAGAGACCGGCACGGCGCAGCCCCCGCTGCCTGTGAGAGGGGATGTGCTGCTGCCCATGGGCGCGCAGAGACCACCCCTCTCCTCTCCACCCCAGCTGCTCCCCCGCCAGGCACCCTGCCTGCTGGGGGGGGGGGTGGGTGGGCAGCCCCAGCCCCCGGCCAGGCACCCAGGTCCCATCTGCACGAGCCGAGCGGGATGGGGAGCACACGAGACCCTCCCCTTACCCCTCCTTTTGGTTTGTCCTTCTCGGTCTCTCCTTTTATATATTCCTCGTTTCACATGTCTGTGTTTTCTCTCCTCCATGCTATGGCAGTGGTGCTCCATGCTGATGAGACAGTGCGTGGTACAACCGCAGGCAGTCATTTTTCAGGTAATTTCTAGGGTACTGAACACCCGACTCTTGCTTTTTCACCTACCGAGCAGCAGGTCGGGCTTCCCGCTGCGCGGGGAGGGACGCCTGCCCCGTGCCCGGCCGTCTCGGGCTGCTCCTCGCCGGCGGCTGTGCCAGCTCGCCGGTGGAGGAGCCGAATCGGAGACCCCTTTCTGCTGGCCCCCCCCGAGCGGCTGGAGAGGCTCCTGGGGAGGGCTGGCAGGAGGGTCTCGATGGGGCCGTGAGGTGAGGGGCTGCTCCACGAGCGCTGCCTCCCCGCCCCGGGGGTTTCCTCTCCTCTCCAGACGGGGTGTCTGGAAGGACGAGCTCTGCCTGGGGGGACCGGCAGAAGGGGGGATGCCGCCGTGCCCCTCGCCAGTGGGTCAACGCCCGGCGCTGCGAACCCGCGCTGCCGGTCAGGCTTGCTGCTTCTTCACGGGGTGCTGCGGTCCCCCCAACCCCTACGCGGGGGCGAGGGGGGCTGCAGACAGCACCCGCTGGTCGGTTGCTCCGCACCCCTGGGTCCCTGCTCCTTTGGGGCTAGAAGATGCCTTTTGCTGACCCTGCAGCACCGCACTGTTGGCAGCCGTACGTTTCCCTCCCTGCCCGCAGCTGCGTCCCCGCTGCTTTGTGGTGGGAGCTGTGGCCGCAGTGCGACACGGGGGGGTCACCCCTCTGCCAGGACTGTGTGTGTGTGAGGGGGGGTCAGTAGCCACCAGGGCTGGCCCTCAGCCCGGGCTCGCTCTGCCTGGGCGCTGGGAGCAGCAACGGTGCTTGGTGCGTGGTCGGTGCGGCTACTGGTGGCCCATTGCTGGTGGCTCTGAGGAGTGGGCATGGGAAGAGGGAAGCAGCTGGAAAATCCCTGAAAAACCCCACTATTCTTACCTCTGGGAAGGGCCACCGGGCCAGCACAAAAGGGGTGCAGCTCTGGTCTGCAGCAAGCTGCTGGGACCGAAAGTGGGGAGGGAACCCCAAATCTCCATTTCTCACGCCTCCGCCTCCTGCAGCAGTGCTGCCCAGGCGCGGACTTTCCCTCCACACCTCGCGGTTTGTGGATGCTGTGCTTTCTGATCGTCACGCTTCAGGGGTAGGACCTGGTCCTGCTTCCTCCCAGGTCAGCTCCTCGGACCCCAGAAGGGAAGCAAGCTGTGGTGTTTCCACATCTGCAGCCTGCTCCGGATTCCCGTGCCTGGGGTTTGCGGGCAGGGGCTCGGGCTGGTCCCGGTTGGGTTTGTGCGAGGAGCGACAGCCCCCAAAAGCCACTTTTGGCTGTGGGGTTTGGACGTGCCCCCCTTGCCCAGCCCCGCGTGTGACCCGGGCTGTGGCACAGCTGGATGCTTCACCCCAAACTACAAGCAGCCAGCTCCTGCTTTGTAAGCTGGAAGGCATGTTCACGCCCTGCCCGTGGGGAGCGGTGGATCAGTGTGCCATTGGAAGATACAAAGAGATTTTCTAGTCTGGATACGGTGCAGTTACGGCTTTCTTAGAGCAGCAGGGGTGAAATAAGGCGTCCTTCCCCAGGGAGTGGTGCGCGCTCTTCTCCACGCATCAGAAATACCAGGCAGCACTGCACAAGGACAGCTTTTCCCTCCTCTGTGCTGCCAGGCCGTCCCATGCCGCTCGTGCATCTCCAGCTTCCCGGGGTGCTTCAGCCGTGCTGTTGTTCCTCCGGCATCTTGTCAGATCAAGGCTTTGGGGAGCGAAAAAACCCGGGGCACATGCACGTGGAAGGCGGGTTGCGGACGCAGGGCAGCGTGGAGTGGTGTGGGATGGCTGAAAAACGCACCTGGGTAGGACGTGGAGTGAGAAGACGGAGCTTTGGTCGCACTTGTAGGAAGGAGAAAGCGTGGGACCGTTGCTGGCATCCTCCACCGAGGAGGGATGCTCCAGGGGCTGTCCTCCCCAGGGCGCAGCAGCGGGGCTGGGGCGGAGGTGTGGGCATGCAGTGTTGGTAAAAGAAAGGGTCTGGGTGTGTGAAGGCGAGGGAAGCGTGGGGACACGGCGGGTGTCGGAGGAGGAGTAAGCTGGAAGGTGTGAGGAATAGGGTGAGTTGAATGCAGAGGTCAGGGAGGGGCGTAGGGGATGGGTGGTTGCAGGTCCCGAGGAGCCGGCGGGGCGGAGGGGGGTGGCCAGCAGCTGGTCGCTGGCAAAATGTGTCTGACCCGCTCGTCTACGAGAGGTTTGCGTGTGGGGGATCCTTCGAGCTGGCAGGGCGCACTCGTGCCTCGTGCAGAGTGCGTCCTCTGAGGAAACACGCGTGTTTGCACAGGCCTGCTAACACTGGGTTAGCCGTGTAAATTAACTTCTGTTTGGCTGGGAGCTGGGCCACAGCGACACGGGCGGATACATCTGACCCAAAGTGCTGACCTCGTGGCAAATACCATATTTGTGCCGGCTCCGTGGGCGCTTCCGAGAAACTTGCAAGAGGGAGAAAGACATGTTCACTCAGATGATGTTTTTCACATCAGATCAGTTTTTGTTTCCTTTTTTTTTTTTTTAAAAAAAAAAAAAACCAAAAAAAACAGAAACATTTTTAATTTGGGCACTCAGAGTGTCCTGGGTTGCCCTACGTTGCTTCAGCTCTGCACAGCTTCTGCAGTGACTTAGCCTGCAGAAATACAGCGGGAATCACCCCCGCAGTGGTTGTTCTTCAGTTTTTGCTTGAATTCATTATCCTCTGGTTGTTACGGGTGTGATTATAATTTCACAAATAACGGGTTAAAACCTGAAGTGCAAATAGCAACAGGGAAGGGAGAACTTTGAAAGGACACTTCCAAGTTTTGTGTGAATGATCCTGACAATAAGAAATCATGGAAAAAGGCAAATGAAGATAAGTTTTCTGCTGTGTATATGGAAGTCCTTCTGGATGTATGGATTGGCCTCACCTGATGTAGGTTGCTGTACCTACATGGACTTTTACAGGGGTATAGGACAGAAACAATCTGGTTTCTGAGGACCTGTGCTCATTTACCGTAGCTTTAGCTAATGAGATTTAAAAATTCCCATGAGATGAGAGAGCATCCTTTCAAGAGTCAGGTGATTTATTTGTAAATAATTTGGTTTTAGAAGAAGTTGGCTATAAATCCATCCATTAAGCAAACACTTTTATTTATGTGCACTTTATTTCTTGTGAGATAATAAGGAAATGCAGCATTCCCAAGAAACGGGGGAACAGGGATACCCTGATCCCACCTGCTTATTAGTGTGTGTCTCTTCATCTGCCACCACTGAAATTAGGAGGGTTCAGGTTAACTGGCACGAACGTTTTTCTCTAACAAGAGAGTAACTTGCACTCAGCCATTACAGCCTCCAGTTACTCTACAAAATTTCCTGTTTAAGGAAAGCCTGGTTACATATTGGTGAGTTTGGCTTAGGTTTTGTAAAGTAAACCCATTTTGGTGTTCTCTGAGAACATCGGTGATAAGCGCAGACCCACTTATCGATCATTTTGCGTGCTTAGCAGCCCCATGTAAATGGGTATTTCCTTTAAAACTGACTGAACGAAGGATTTCCTAGTTCTGTATTGCATCTACTTTTTGTCATACAGGCAAAAGCGCGTGAATAGCAAATTTGTTATAGCTAAAATGCCTTTTTTTTTTTTTTTTTTTTTTTTTTTTTTTTCCCTAGGCAACTGAATACTCAGCCATGGCATCATTAGCTGGTGGATTAGATGACATGAAGGCCAATATAACCAGCCCTACTTCTGCAGATTTGGGAGCGAGCGTTCCTGGGCCTCAGTCATATCCTATCGTCACAGGTAAGCAGTTTCCCAACGCCGATACGTGGTGTGAGGTGCGTCGTGTGCCCGCTGCGGGGTGATGCCCTTTATGGAGGAGTTGTGTCCGATGTGGAGTCATTTGCTCAAAAAGTCTCTTTTTAAGTGCTATTTCCTAGCAGCTCTCTCGCAAGTCAGGCGCGTGGCTTGTGTAAATCAGTAGTGTTCGCTTGGCGCCAACAGATGAAGCACCCATCCCTCTTGTACGGGAAGGGACGCGCCCCCCACCCCAACCCTGCACCCCGAGCACCAGCATGTGACCGAAAAGCAAAATGCTTCCCTCTGCTTTTGGGATTTGTTGATCATTTTTCGTCAAGGCGTCTGGCGTGTTTGACTGGATGGGGTTTTTTAGGACAGTTCAAACTAGCCTGCATTTTGGATGCTTTTGATTCTTACAGATGCTCGTGTTTTACACCATTTCTGGAATTGTAATTAATGCACTAGGACTGTGCATTTAAATAAAAAAGCAAAGGTTGTTTCCGCAAGGGATGCAGCATCATCTGCATTTATTTAGCAGGCATAAGGTGAGACTTAAGGAACATCTAGAATTCGATAAATGCTTTGCTTTGGTCCCCTGGTTATTTGGGACCGACCACATCGCTTGGAAGGAAGTTGCCCAAGTGGCAAAGAAATTACAATGTTGTGTCCTGAAGCAATTGTGGGAATCAGAAAAAAAAAAAAAAAAGAATTTTAAAATTTAAGGCTCTGTGTTTCATATGCATGTTACCTCTGTGTGTTACTTCTGTTCCTGTGTCTAACCCGTGCGGATTTCATCAGTGGATATTCTCCATTTTGCCAAAGATTGGATTTCCTTGTTTATTTTGTTGCTGAAAGGGAAGGTAATACTGTTTTTTGTATAGTATTATTGTAGCTTGGAAGCACTATGTTCGCATCTAGCAGGAGAATAGTTTTGAGAACAAATGTTACAAGATTGTTTTAACCCAATATAGCATCAGCCTTTGGATCTTCCTGCAAACAGTTTAGGAGCATTCAAAAGAAATTAGAGAGTTACAGGAACCGTAAGGAAATCCAAGTTTACCTTGAAGTGTGGGAGGGGAGAGGCTTCTTGAACTAACTGTCTGGTACTGGGTGGGTGGTTTGAGCAGTAGATTCATAGATAAGAAGGGTGTCTAAGGGTGGATGGAGGGACAGAAAGAGGGATTTCTGTACAGGTGTGGCTTGTAACGGGTAGGGAGATGGGGCATAGAGATATATAGAGAGAATTGTAGAATCATAGAACCGATGGGAGCCGTGTCAGCGGGGGGAAGGAGTGACTGAGCTGCATCGTCACGGGGCGACGGATGGCGGGGCCAGAAGGCGACTGAGAAGCTGAGTGCTTGCTTGCTTCTGTCTTCTTCTAAGGTCTTCACCCGGACAAAATCAGGCTCAGCCGAGAGCTGATGTTTGAGTTAATACTCCAGCTCTTTTGCGCGGGTTTAAGCACTCCTCATGCTCCTTACTTTACTACTTCCTTAGAGTTTGGTGGGCTGAGCGATCACGTCTGTTAGAGCAAAACTGACCGCAGAAGTGACACTGTGGAGCTCGTTACAGATTTCACGTGTGTTCTCCCCACGACATTACCTGCACTTGAGCAAAAGTTCCAAATGTTAAATTTACTAGTTCTCATCAAAAACGTGGAGCAGTCTTTATGAGTAGCAAGCCTAGAAAAAACCTGCCATTGGTCTTAAATGTGACAGGATGAGAGCTATAACAGAACACGTTTTACAAGGCAGTAGGTATTTATATCTTTAATTTGATATTGCTGTAGAGTTTTCTAACACCTGCATTCATAAAACTTAGATTTACACAAGCATATCAAAACCCTTTAAAACCTATGCCTTCTGATATATTCTTGGAGAAGATTGTCTGACCGTTATCCTCCCTTTTCTTTTCCTAACACCCATAGCAACTGTTTTGTGCTGCTCGTGCTCTGGGAGCACCCAGAAGCCCCCAGCATGGTCTGGGCCCTGTAGCACAGGGCATACACGATACGACTGAGCCACATTCTCTGCCCCGAGGCTTTCCTAACATCCCAACAAACTGAGGAGACGTGCAGACTGTTGGGGACAGAAGGATTTAAGCAGCAAGCCATACTTTGTAATGTGCAAGGCATGTAAGTTATGGTGCACTTGGTGATGCAATTCTCACTGTAGATCGACTTCTCCATTTTATCCCCAAAATTAACTCGCTTTTTCAGTCACTCCTCTTTCCCCACTCCATTTCACTGGGGGGACAGGGGATTTGGAAGAGGAGACACATGTATTGATCCTTTTTCACTTACAGCCAAAAGCTGCATATTGCTAGTGGCCTTGCATCTGTAGTAAATATCACTGAAAATTATAAGGAACCGGGCAATGGTGGTTATGAGCACAAGGTCCAACAAGGTTTGCTAACACATCACATACTCTGCCTTACGGGAACTTATTTGTCATTTGTGATCTGACCAAAGCAGTGATGAAATTCAGTGGTTTAGTGATCCTCAGCTGGGGCCGGGGTGGGTGGTTGGGTTTAGGGGGTGGATAAGTCAGACAGCACCTGGAAGAGGTCTAGCTTTGTACCAGCCCTGCTGTGGTGGCCAGGAACTGGCTCACGAGAGAAGTCCTGCCAGAGCCAGGTCCTGGCCCTCAGCCCCTTGGCTGGCAGGCAAGAGCCTGAGCCTCGCAGATCCGTGGTGGCGTTTCTCCCATGAGCTGCTCCTCGCTGGAGGAGGAATGGCCAACCAGATCTCCAGTCTTTTTTTGAGATTCAGAAGGTTGGGTTGCTTTTAATTTCTTCACCCTTTTTTGAGTGTTTCCACTCCTTCTCATTCCAGACAGCCTGTCCTGCAAGGTGTCCAAGCAAACTGAGAGCAGGAGACCGAAAGCCTTGGGGGACAACTTGCTTCGGTCATGCTAGGTAGTATGTTCTCAGCTGTAAAAGTGAGACGTGGCTGGATAAAGCCCCACAAAACGTCCAGAGTCTGTGCCTGGTAGTGCTAATGGCTTGAGAAGTTGACTTCACTTCTGAGTTGACTTCCCAGATTATTAGCACTTCTGTAACAGCTTCAGTGTCACAAAACCAAGAACTACTTAAAACACTGGTAGTATCCAGGAGAGTCTGTTAGTGTTAAACTTTGTTTGTACCACGAGCTCTTCTGGTGTGCGTGGAGCAGAGCTGTGAACGTGCGATTGCGTGATTACAGAGAGTGGGGCTGTTGCTGGGCATAGTGCTGAAAGGCCGCATTTATGGGGCCAAAGAACTTGAAATATGACATACAGGAGTTTGAGCCAAGAACACTTGTGTCCTTTTCATATCTGGCATCTGCCGCTCAAGCTTAATCAGTTTTTATGAGAAAGTCTGGAGACTTTCTGGGCTGCCATATGTGGAGAGACCTGAGTCTAGTTCATCTTGTCAGTCTTAAGTCTGTAAAACAGACTGTAAAAGAATTTAATGCAAACAAAGCTAAGCACTGAGGTCTTAAGTGAATTATCATCACAATCTTTCGTTGTTCTTGTAGCCCGGCTGTGGTGTAGGCAGCAAAGCAATGTTGAGGGTTGAGATGCAAAAGATCCTCTGTGCATCTGTTGGTAGAAAATGTAAAATTTCTATTTCTTAGCAAGCTGGTAGATCAAAATATTTGGGATATTTCTTGAAGATGAGAAGATTGCTTAAACATTGGCATTCATGCCAGTTCTTGTTGCTAGAAAATGTCTGAGGAAAAATTTAGTGACAGTTCTCAGTACCGCTTCATCCCCCATCTTCATTGTGTTATGGACCACCAGCCAGACCTCTGATCAGAGAACCACTTGGTTTCTCTGCATCATTTTTATGTCACGTTAATATTAAGTTTAAAAAAAAAAACAAAACAAAAAAACCCCAAACCAAAGCCTTCCCTTATTGTTTGTTGCCACGGTCTGTAAGCGCTCTCTCCATTTACAAGCCAGCGACACGTGCCCAGCTCGTTACTGCTGTAGTCAGCAGTTTCCAAGCAGCCTGTGGTTGTTACTAATTACCTGCAGATGCATTTTCCCCGCTCCGGCTTGCCGGTTCCAGCGTGGCCGGCACCCCTTTGAGAGGACAAAGCCGTGCTAACCCGACACCTTCTCGCGACCTGCCGTCGGCTCTCAGCCGCCCTCGCCCCCGCGGCCGCTGAACGGTTCTCTCCGGTGAAAGAAGCTGTGCAGAGTAAAGTCGCCTCAGTTTTGTTCCCCTCTGGCAGGTGCTGGAGTGCGGGAGCTTGTTCTTCTCCCATGCTGGGACGTCTCCGTCACCCTTCGCGCGCTGGCTCTCCCCGTCGCTGCCAGGGCACGCTGCCTCCCAGCCCGATGAGCGTGTCCTGTTGCCGCTGTGCTGGCGAGCATCTCACAGCCCATACACCCGTGCAGGGAGAGACCAAGACTCTGCCAAACACAGACAGGTTGTTCTTTGTCCTGCGCACTCCACCCTGTAACCGCGCCATGGGAGGAGTGTTCCCTTACGTGCCCCTTTGTGGGGTCAGTCTTGGAGGCAACGGCCCCGTGGAGCCGCATGCACTGGCTTTCCCGCACAGTTTTCGTGCACGTCAAAAAGGCGAGAAGAACGGAACAAAACCAGGAGCAGAGTCAGTTTGCCATCTGGAGGGATGGGGAGGGAGACACATTCTGGATGGATTATCTGCCCTGGCTTGTGTAGCTGGACTCAGCCACCAGACAAAACCGATCCCAGACTTCAGGCTGAGCTGGACGTGGAGCGAACGGGGCAGATGCATCTGGCTGAGCAGACTCCTCCACTCCAGGAGGTATCAGCTGGACTTTTTCCTTGGTGTGGGTGCATCCAACAGCTCAGATGTGGTATATTATGCCAGGTAGTTATTTTTTCATAGGTGGCACAGGTCTGTGGCTAATGCAGGTAAAAGGGATATGTTTAGCCTTCCATATTCCTGCATATTTTGTCAAATTTTTGTGGTTAGGAAATGAAAATGCTAAAATGAGATAAATGCACATCAAAAGATGGGCTGTTTTTTG